ATGCCACTGTAACTCGGGCTGGGGAGGACGCCAGAGGCATGGAGCCAGGGGCATTCCTTATGAGCCTGAGCCGCTGGCCTAAGCGTACACGCACATGCACACACACAGCCATGCACATGCACAACTATGTCCACACGTGCGCACACGTACACCTCCCGGTAGCTGTGGGCCAGCAGTGAGGGGTGCACAAGATGCCAGTCCACCTGTGGCGGAGAACTTGGAGAGCCCGCCCAGAGGCTGGGCAGTGTCAGGGGCGGCGGCGTGTGGCCGGAGTGTCTACATGCGTGTCCAGTTTGTCTGCTGGTTTTATGAAACCGTGTCCACCGTGTTCTCACCCAGATGGGGCTGATGACAGCAGTGTGTAAGGCCTGCTTGGGCCTCAGACAGGTGTCCTCATTTACCTCCGGGACCCCCGGGGACAGGCGAGGATGAGTCTGTGGTCACTAGCTATGCTGTGGGGCTGGCTTAGCGGCACATTAGTGGGGCGAGTACTGGAGCAGGCAAGGTCTGCCACCCGTCACTCAGCCAGGTTCCTCAGCACCCTGGGGACATCTGCCACCCCATCTGTAATGCAGAATGATTTCATAAAGTAGTCGAGGGTTAAATGACGAAAACCTCACTAATAGTCACTGCATGGGAATCGTTTTAATGTCTTGGAATCTGAGGACAGGCAGATGATTCCCAAGCACCCAGAGCCAGGGCAGGTGTCAGGCAGGTCCCTGAGCTCAGAATACCACCCGCCCTGCCCTGCTGTGTGGCACGGGCCACCGCGTGGACATGTTTGTGGGCTCTCTGTGGATGACCTGCATACTGTCATTGCGGGCAGTAGTGGTATGGGGAAGTCTCCTCGGGTCTTGGAAGCCAAAGGGAACCCCCAGAATTTAGTATCTTCCACATGCTGGATTCTCAAGAAGAGAATTTGTCTTCAGAATTCTTGAGAATTGTGCTTATGCTCAAGAAGGGAGTCTGCCTGCCTCCTCTTAGCCTCATCTGTGGCCTGGCGTCACAGGAGAGGACATTTCCAAGAGCCAGCCTGGTCTCATTCCCTGACCTTACGGGGCCCAGCAAGTGTGACATTGCCCGCAGTGACCATGGCAGTGGTTCCAGTGGTCTGTCTGCTGGAATGGGACTCGCCTGGGAGAAGCCAGGTGGCTGGGAGGCAAGGGGAGCACTAAGAAGTTCTAGCCACTCCTCTGGGGCAAGCATGTGGCGGCCACAGGAATGGAGTTTGAAGGACGGACAGAAACATCACAGTGACAGAGGGTGGAAGGAAGGGCTTGCTGTGGGCTCGCAGAGCTGTGTGTAGACTGGAAATGGTTTATTGGGGATTGAAGGTGGGAAACTGCCCATTTGCTTAGGGCTACAAGTCCAGACCCCGTGCCCACCTGAATAGGCAGTGCAGCACCCAGATGCTTGTGGCCTTGAAAGGCGCTGCTCCTTGGGCAGCTCCCTCACATGTCCTCCCGTGGCAGAGACAGCAGGATCCACAGTACCACGTTCTTCTGTGGCTGTGTGTGTTTTGGAAAAGCCTTGTGCAGACCGGACATGGGCTTCTCTGTGTACCTGGCGGTTTCAGGGGTGCCAGTTGTTGTAGGTTGATCTGCATTTGACATTTATGCCCAGCTCAGCCCTCCTGTCTTCTGGGTCCTCTGCCTGGCAGGGTCCGGCCCAGGCGGGCAGAGCAAGCTGAGCATGCTCATGTTGCCCACTGCCAGCCCCACTGTGCCACACACCACAGGAAGCCCCACACATGAGTTTGGTTTTCCTGTTACATGGAATTCTGACCTGGGTGGGAAGCATCAGGGATACGGGCCCCCATCTGCCTCTGCTCCCCATTCTTGGTATGAATTGTGGCAAAAGCCAGGAAAAGCCGAGGGATGCCACGTTAGAGGACAGGGGAGCCCCCTCCCATAGTCTCCAGAGGCAGAGAGCAAATTCAGTAGTCTGGTTCTCACCCAGATGGGGCTGCTGACAGAGGTGGGTAAGAGCCTGAAGGATTGATTTTCAGCCAAAAGATAGAGATATGACTCCTGCTGGGTGAAGGGCAGAAGGGAACCCACAGGGGCATCCATGTGCCTTGCACTAGCAAAGTGGCTCTCCTGGCTGGGAGGAACTGTCCCCATGTTCTCTGCTGTTCCCGTGCCCACCAGTGTGAAACCAGATGAGTCAGACAGCCAGGCCCCGGTTGGACTCCGCCCTGCCTTGACCTGCTGTGTGGCTTTGACTCCCCTCATGTGAGTGACAAGGACCACACCTACCAACAGGATACCTGGCAAACAAAGGAGGAAGGTGTATTTTACTCATGGTCTCCGGGGTTCTATTCCACGGTTAGCTGGTTCTGTTCCTGTGGGCCTAAAGGGCCGTGAAAAGTGGTGGAAAGGAATGGACAAGCAAAGCTGTGGAGAGGGGAGGAGCCAGAGGGGGAGGGGCTGGCTGCCCGAGGTCATGTGACCTGCTGCCCTTAGGTAACCGCCCCCTCAGTCCCTACTGCCTCCTCCTGCAGTCATCAGAACAGGATCACATCAGTGGATTAATCCACTGCATTTACAGCCCTCAGGATCCAAACACCGTCCAAAGCCCCACCTCTGAACACATGAGCCGTTGGGGACAGTTTAGGTCTATACCATAACACCAGGTACCTCACTGGATGTTGGGATTTCGAAAAGCCAGGTTCTTCTGTAATGTTGGGGTGGGGTGCAGAATTGGCCCAACTGTGTCCCCACACACACACAACCAGCCCAGGAAGCTGCCTCTGCCTGGCAGGACTGGAGCCAAAGCCTCTCCCTGGGAGGCCAGCAGGCCTGCAATTGCTGTCCCGGTGAACCAAACCACTGCAGCTGGCCAAGCTGTGAGGATGGGTGGGCCAAGCTGGAATAGAAAGGACCACCCAACACCTGTAGTCTCCGAGGTAGATCTTGCTGTGGCACCTGCATGTGGCTGTGTCCAGTGACTGGACAACTCTGGGCTGTCTCAGGCTGGAAGATTCCAGAACCCAGGAGTCTCTGTGCCTTGTTCCTCACTCCAGAATTAGCCCTTGAAGCCCCTTTTCTGTGTTTTCTCCAGGGAGGGGTGGGGCTCCAGGGGCTCTGAAAAGCCTGAGGGCGCCCACCCTAAGCCTGCACACCGCAGCCTCCACCCCTTCACCCCACCCGCATCCCTGCCAAGGGGCTGGGCCTGCAAGAAGGGAGAGGGCAGGGAGCCTTCGTCACACGGCCTTGTGGGCCGGGACTCAAGCATGTGATCCTGTATAGCTTGTTTTGTTTGAACAGCTTGATTGAGATCTAATTCACAGAAGGGCACAGCTCACCCACTTCAGGCCCACACGCCAAGAATTCAGTACACTCGTGGTTATACATCCATCACCACAGACCACATCAGAACATTCCCAGCGCCTTACAGGGCACCCCATGACCCTCAGCTGTCACCCATTATCCCCAAGCCAGCCTTAGCCCGGCCCTAGGCAGATGCAGCGGCTGAGCTACTACTCCGTCTCTAGATTTCCCTCTTAGAGACATTTTCGGTCCGTGGAGTCCTGTGACCTCACACCTGCAAGGCTGGTCCCATAGGTCAGTCCGGGATGTCCTTACATCATGAAACACTGTTTTTTCATGCGCATTTTGATTATGCATCGCTGGACACATGGGTGGTTTCCACCTTTGGGGTTACTGTTAGTCATACTACTGGCAACGCGTGTCTACAAGCTTGTGTGTTTTCTCTCCAAGTTACATGCCTAGGAGCAAAATCACTGACTAGTAGCTTTCCCTGTGTTCTTTTGAGGGCTACCCCCAGACAGTTCTCCAAAGCCGCTGCATGATCCTTACTTTCTCCCCCACAGGGTGAGCAGACCTCCCAACTCTCTGCATCCTTGCCAGCACTTGTTACTGGCTGTGTTATTTTACCCATTCTCATGGTGTCTCCTGGCGATTTTGACTTGTGTCAAAAGAATGCCGAGCACCTTCTCATGGATTCCTTGTCACTTCTTGGAGAACCGTTTAGATTCTTCACCCATTTTTTAAATGGGTTGCTTTCATCTTTTGTTTCTTCGGTTTTTCCTTTTGAGACAGGGTCTCACCATGCAGCTCAGGCTGACCTTGAGCTCATTTTGTAGCCCAGGCTGGTCTTGAACTCAGCCATCCTCCTGCCTCGCAAGTTCTGGGATTACAGGCATGCACCACCATGCTCAGCCTGCCACCCCCTTTTTTTTTCAGTCCTCATGACTCATCGTAGGGCCTCCCCAGTGATCTATATCCCTAGCCCTTTTCTAGCCTTTCTGTTTATTCATTTTGTTTTGAGACAGGGACTGGCTAAACCTTTCCTGGGCTTAAAAACCTTCCATCTTCCTGCCGCTGGCATTGCAGTCACGTATCACCCTGCCTAGCTTCTTTTTCTTGGTTTTCTGTCTATAAATAGGTTGCATTATTAAGTTGTAAGTTTCTTACATATCCTCAAGCTAAGTCCCTGACCAGATACAGAAATTACAGCTACCCTCCCCCCATCCTGTAGGTTGACTTGCATTTTCTGATGGTGTCCTTTCAAGCAAATGAGTTGAATCTTGCTGAAGTTAGTTGTTTTCCCATGTTTGGATGTCTTATCTTGGGTGTTGTATCTTGCATGTTTTTAATGAGACCCTTCCCCCTGGAAATGGGGTGAATGAGGGGCTGTTTGGCTGGGCTGTCCTTCTGTGGGCCAGAGTCTTGGGTTTTGTTTTGGCCGAGGATAATCGGGTCCTCTTCCTTATCCGGGTCTCTGGGTTCTGCAGCTCCTCGGGTGTCAGCTCCTGACTCCAGGGGACCCAGCCAGTTTGGAAGTTGGAGAGACATTGAAGCAGGACCTGTTTCCTGTATAGATAAGTCAGGGAGGTGAGAAGTAGGATATAGACGTGGTGGGTCAGGTTCAAATCCTGGGAGTCCAGGGGAGACACGGGACATTCTACCATCTGTTAAAAGGCTCCAGGGCCAGATGCTGGGATCTCGAGGGCTAACACACTCTTCTGTCTGCAGCCATGAAGGCCGACCGGAAGCGCTTAAAGGGTGAGAAGACGGACCTGGTGAGCCAGATGCAGCAGCTGTATGCCACGCTGGAGAGCCGCGAGGAACAGCTGCGGGACTTCATCCGCAACTATGAGCAGCACCGCAAGGTCAGCGCCGGGCTCGGGCGTCCAAAGGACATGGGCGCAGCCCTTGGGGCCTCTGGGCCTGGACAGTGCGGTGCGGGAGTTGGGGGTCCCCGTTCCTGTCTCTGTGCCCAGGGCTTCCCACTTCCCTCTCGGAGCCTGTTCCCCTGTAAAAGGGTGACAGAGGGGCACTGCTGCCAGGAGGCCTCTGTGATTGTGCGGCCCAAGCACATGGGCCGGCGCCTAACATGTAATAAGCACAGGTGACACAGTGCTGTTCAGTTATAAAACCTCCCCATGCAAGCGTGAGGCCAGGCGTGGTGGCGCACACCTACAGTCCCAGCACTCAGGAGGCTGAGGTTGGAAAACGGCTTCGAGTTCAAGGCCAGCCTGCGCTACAAAGTGAGCTCAAGGCCAGCCTGAGCTGCATAGTGAGACTCTGTCTCCAAAAGACAAGTGTGAGGAAAGCAGAGGTGTGACCTGGGGCAGGTCCCCTAGGGGACCTGGGACTAGAGCCCCCTACCAGGTCATAATCCCGTGGACACTTTCTCTGCACCACATTTAGGAGAGTGAGGACGCGGTCAAGGCCCTGGCCAAGGAGAAGGACCTGCTGGAGAGGGAGAAGTGGGAGCTGCGGCGCCAGGCCAAGGAGGCCACGGACCATGCGGCGGCCCTGCGCTCCCAGCTGGACCTCAAGGACAACCGCATGAAGGAGCTGGAGGCCGAGTTGGCCATGGTGAGGGCCCCCTGTGGAGCGACCAGACCTCAGGCTGTTCCCCAAAGCGCCAGGGAGAGTGGGGATGGGGCCGCGGGAGTCAGAGCGGCAGGCAGGCAGGCGTCCAAGGCCCATCCATGCCCTGCGCCAGAAAGTGCGGGATTTCAGGAGGGCTTGGCTGTCCGCACGCCCCAGGCAACTGCTAAGAAGAGAGAGTACAAGCAGGTTTGCAGATATTTAGGAAAACATTTGGAGGGAGATACACGAGAATAAGAACATTACTTACCCCAGATCGGTAGGATTGCATATGACTTCTATTTCTTTCTGTTTTCACATGTGTCTGCAGGAAAGTTTTTATTTGGTTACCTGGAAATTTTTAATTGCAAAATAACAGCCCCCATATTCTCTGACACTGTTCTGACAAGGTCCCTGGGGTACCTGTGTGTGGGGCGGAGCACCCCAGTCCCGAATCCAAAGCCCAGAATTTGGTTCTGCCTGCCCCTGTGGGCCTGAGCCATACATGGGAGGCTTCTGAGCTCCTGTGTCCTTCCTGTTACTGGGCCTGGGGCACAGGGTCTCGATCCCACAGTCCTTTCCATAGGATGGCTGGGCACATACGGAGAGCTCATGCCAGAAGGGCTTTTGAAACCTACCAGGGCCGGGTGACAGTGGCCTGTGGAGGTTATACCCAGAGTCCCTGGGGGAACTCCCACTGTAGATGATGGCAGATGCCTTCCCAAGGTACCTTGCTTCTAGGCAGGGGCTGGCTCCTGGGTCTCCTTGCGCGGTGCTGACCCCTAGTGGTGAGGGCCACCCGGGCATGAAGCGGCTGCAGCCTGGGGTTCCTCCTGGGTTGGGCTTTCAGCAGGGGATTCTGCTGCCAGCCCCGCATGTCTCAGGCCAGCTTTCTCAGTGCCCATCATGGACAAACACAGTGCCTCCTTGCCTGGAGTTCTGGCCCCACATCCGGGAACCACCTGGATTGGGAGATAATCCCAGGGACACCCTGAGGCCTGCTTCCTACCCCGGCAGACATCCACCCTTGGGCTGGTGGGGATGCTGAAGCTCAGGGGGTAGATTTGTTGGCACATCACCACAGGTGGTATCATTTCAGGGCCAGGAAACAGGGGCTTGTGGTGTTGGGAAGTCTGCCTAACTACAGGACCCCACTGTCATTCACTACTTGTAGTTCATAGGTGATCAGTAGGTCCAGCTGCCCTGACCACCCTGCTGATCCTAGGACAGGTCCCGGGTTTCAAGCAGCAGAAAGCTACTCCAACTAGCTGTGCTGGGAGGAGTCGGGGTCCGAGGCGCCCCATGAAAGAGGAAGAGGCCAGGCTTAGAGATGCGCCTGACTACTGGAGGCCGCCCCCTGCTGGCCAGAAGGAGTCTTGGCACTTTGTCCTCTCAAGCCCGTCACTTCCCAGCCCAGATGAGAGGTGTGGGGTCTCAGCATCCCACGCTGGAAGTACACGCTGCATCTGCCCTCTAAAGGGCCTGAGGCCTAGGAAAGGGGCTCCCAGCCACCTCCCAAGGGAAATCTTGGTTCTCATCAGTACTTTTTTGTGTGCATGTGATATTAGAGATTGAAACCAGGTGCATCTCACCAAGCTGCATTCCCAAGCCCTTAATTTTTTAATTTAGACACAGGGTTTTCCTACATTGCTAAATTGCTCAGATAGGGCTTTCACTTATATCGTCTGCCTCAGCCTGCCAGATTCCTGGGGTTACAGGGATGCGCACCGTGCCTGGCAGGGTGACTGCGGTCAGTCATCCTGCAGCCAGGGGGACACAGAGCCATGGGGAGGGAGGAGACTTTTTGGGACCCCACAGCTTGGAAGTGGCTGGGCTGGGGCTGGACTCCAGCGGTCTGACTACAGAGGGTCAGCTGCCAGGCTCTGTGCTTCCACACCCTGCCAGTGAGGACGCTGGGCTGAGAGCTGGAGAAACGGGCTCAGGCTCACGCAGCAAGCTTTGGAAGTGGACCCTCAAGCCATGTCTGCCTGAGTTTTTGTCACATGAGCATATATTCATCACTTTACCAATTTGCTTCTCAGCAGAAAGCTCAGAGAGGAAAGGAGGGGGTCAGCTCAAGAGGGGTTCCCAGCGCTGCATTCACAGGGAGTCCGTAGAAACACTGCATAGATTACCATAGGGAGGTGACCTGGCTTGGCCCAAGAGCACACACGTGCGTTAAGTCAGGCTCTGCAGGCCTCACCTGCCCCTTACAGTGCTGTCTTCTGGGTCTGAAATATTGTGTAGCACTTGTAATCCCAGCACTTTGGGAGGCAGAGGCAGGAGAATCATAAGTTCAAGCCCAGCCTGGGCAACATACCAAAACCCTGTGTCAAAATAACAAGGGATGGTAGTGCGGCCAGTGTGAAGGGCCTGGTTTCAAGCCCCAGTACTGGAGAAGATAATTCTGCATGGGCAGAGAAAGAGGCTCCTGAGCCTCAGAGCTCACTAGTACCACAACCAATCCTGAGCCTGTGATAGAAGGCGCCACACCCAGGCCCGACAGAGGTGAGCCCTGCTAGGTCTGACAGGAGAGCATCGTGTCCAGGCCTCTTCCTCTTGCCCTTGTGGGCTTCCGCAAAGGGCCAGATGGGCATTCCTGTGCCATCCGTGTATGTGTGGCTGGGGATATCTGTGACAGGGAAGAGCCAAGGGAGCTGATCCAGCAATGAGGAGAATCTGTGTTCTCATACATAAGCATGCCCCCCCAAAGAACTGGAACTCACTTCCAATAAAACCCTGCATACCCTGCAGGGAGATGGCACGGCTAAAGAACCCCAAAAGAAAGGGTGTTCATTGTGTGTGTTCTTGGACCCCTTTCTCTCTGTTTGTTCGTCTCCCTTTTGCTCCTGGTGGGAACTAGGGTGAGCCTAGACATGAGTTCTCAGATGAAGGCTATAGCGCAGGGTCTCGACTCCCGAGGAGGCACAGCCACCCTGTGCAGAGATGGCTTCTCAGCTTTCCTGCCACAGTGGCGAGTGATGCTGAGGAGCAGCCCACAGGGCTCCCTGGTCATGGCCTCTTCCTGTCCCCCGGCTCTCTCTCCAGGCCAAGCAGTCCTTAGCCACGCTGACCAAGGATGTTCCCAAGCGGCACTCACTCGCCATGCCAGGCGAGACGGTGCTCAACGGCAACCAAGAGTGGGTGGTGCAGGCGGACCTCCCGCTGACGGCGGCCATCCGACAGAGTCAGCAGACTCTCTACCACTCCCACCCTCCCCACCCCGCAGACCGGCAAGGTGAGTCCTGCTCAGCCTGGCCCTGCCATGGCTTTGAGCCTCCAACCTGGTGCGAGAGGTAGTTTCACACTACAGCAGCCTAGGACAGTGCAGGGCAGAGACCATGGGCCCCTATAACTGAACAGGCTAAAAGATGGACTTCGGGAATAGCTGGCTCCAGAAGTGCAGACCATAGCTTAGTCTTCTCTCTGACCACTTTGCTCCATCTCTGTTCTGCCCACCTCCGTCAGACCTCATCTTTGGGTCATCTCTTGCTACCGAATCAAAACAGACCCCCAAAGTTCTCAACTCTTAAGGCCTTTAAAAGTTCACAAATTTTGAGAAACAGAAACTATCTTTCTCCTCTATCCATTTCAAACTCAAAAATGTCTGATTGGCCATCTTAGGTCACATGTCCAATGCTGCCCTAACTACTGTATCTAGAGAGAAGCTAGTACCCTGATTGGTCAGCCTGTGTCACTTGCCCACCCTGGTGTCTAAAGAGTAGGTGTATCCTGGTTGGCCAGCCTGGTCACATGCCTATACTGGACCAATGACATACCTACAGAGAAGTGTGGACCCTGATTGGCCAACAGCAAGGGAAGCCCCAGAGTCTTTGGTTGACAGCTCCAGCCAATCACAGAAGGTGCAGGAAGATGGGAATGTAAATGTCAAGCAGGTATATTTGCTCAAGACCCTTGGCTGTCTGAGCAGTGACTCTGGCCCTGGTCCTTAGCTTCTTGACTCATAACGAGGGCGCTGGGCTCTTAGTGCACTGTGTGGATTGTGAGTCTGTTTGCTGAGACTTCCCTCCACCCACCTCCTGGGGTTGTGGTGGTGAGGAAATGCACAGTCTCTGGATTGGGACCTGGGTAAATATTAGCCACTGCTGTCATCAGCATTAGTGTCGTCATTGTCCTCATTGATGGGTGACACACAGGGCTTTCGAACCTGACAGTCACCAGACGCAGATTCCCCCCTCCACTGAATGGAAGCTCTGCCCATGGAGGTGGACTCCGTGATGGGAACTGGGGGCACCTCCTCTGGAGCTGAAATGCAAAGCTAGAAAAGCGCAAAATAAAACGATTCATGTCCAGCTCCTGCCTCGGGCATGGAATCGGAGCCCTGTGGAGGGCTGTCCCTTCGCGTCCTCAAAGCCCAGGTGCACAGCCAGCTCCACTGCTCCCAGACCAGCCTGGGCAGCAGCGGGGGAGGTGCTCCTGGCAGACACAGTGCTTGGGGCAGCTTCAGTCACGTGGTGGCAGCTGACACCTGCCATCTGCCTCCGCTGCTGCAGTGTCCCTCGGCGGAGCTGTTAGGGTAGGAGGGGTTTCCAGGCTGGCAGATCTACCCTCTGGGTCCTGCCTCCTCTGCGGCCCTTGGCTCAGCTACGGCAGTTTCTGCTGTTCATCAGACAGGTCCTCCAGGAGGCTTTCTTGGCTTGCTCCTTAGCCCTGTCCCCTGGGTGAGACAGGGTGCCTGCCCACATCAGAGCGCTCACTGCCCACACGTCTCCCTGCAGCTCCCCTTGCCCTGCACTCCTTCCATCGGCCTGGTGCCCCGCCTTGCAGTAGGCCCATCACATGCAGCTGCCCTGTGCCATGGGGCCACTGTCACCCCCATTTCCCATATAACAGAACTGGCTCAGGGGGATGTGGATATAGCTCAATGGCCTCAGTGCCTGCTTGGCAAGTGCAAAGTCCCAAGTTCGATCCCCAGTACCCCAAAAAAAAAAAAAAAGAACGCTGGCTCAGAGAGGGTGGAGGGCATGCCCACAGCCACACAGCTCCCTCCATGCGGCACGAGCCCCTGCAGCCAGGAGAGCAGTCTGCAGGTGGAGTTGGGGGACTTAGAGCAGGGCCCCTCACTCTCACACTTGGTTGAGTGCCTCATGCTGGGCCACATGTGGTCTGGGGTTAGACACAGATAAGACACTCAGGTGCCTCCTTCCTGGGCTGAGCACAGGTGAAGGCCCCACTGGGTCTAGGACACCCGCCAGCAGCTGCCCTGTGGGAACAGGCAAGACTCAGTGTTTCAGCCACACAATGGGGGTGTTGGGTGCGCGGTGAGGGTATCCTGTCCACCCTCACTCACTGGCTATCCCTGCCTTCTAGCGGTCAGGGTGAGCCCCTGCCACTCCCGGCAGCCCTCGGTCATCTCCGACGCATCTGTGGCTGAAGGCGACCGGTCATCCACGCCGAGCGACATCAACTCCCCTCGACACAGGACGCACTCCCTCTGCAACGTAAGGCCAGCAGCAGTGGGGCTGGGCACCCGAGTCCTGCCCAGGGACCACGGGGCAGGGGGCGGGTAAAGTCGCTCCGGCTCTTTCCTCTTGTCCACCCAGGGAACATTCGGGCGAAAGAAGGCATTTCCTCTTCCGCTCTTTCCTTTGCAAGAAGCGCTGGATGTGGGGAGAGAGAGAGGAGGCCCGTGTGTTCCTTATGTCCGGGAGGGCACGGAGAGCCCCGAGGAGGCCAGTCTGGGTCGGCCTCAGGGTCTGTGCAGCCTGCAGCTCTACCCGGTGGGCCCTGTCCAGGACCGTGGGCACCCCCAGGTGTTAGAGGTCATCTCGGACCCAGAACCTTCCAGAACCCTGTTTCCCTCAGCACTGGCTCTCGTCCTTCATCTAGAGATGGAGCCCAATTGGTTTGGTTGGGGTTTTTTGTTTCCAGGGATTTGGGAAAAAGTGTTTCTTCTGAAGAGGAGGCATACTATGAAAGGCTCCAGACATCCAATTCTTGATAGGAGAGAGTGGGGCTGATGGGCTCTGTATTAATTCCTTTCCATTGCTGTTACGGAATACCCAAGGCTGGGGCATTTATAGAGAAAAATGGTTTATTTAGCACACAGCTTTAGAGCATGAGGTCAGCTCTGGTGACAGCCCCAACGCATGTCACACTATGGCCACAGCAGGAGTATATGCAGGAGGAAGACAGGAAGCCAGAGTAGACAGGGCCTGTATTGCCCTTTTATAACAACTCAAGAAAATAAAGTCACCAGGGTCCCTTAAGTACAACCTTAATTCCTTCCGAGGGCAGGGCTATAAGAGAGCAGTCAGGGAGTAGTGTCTAACTCTAGTGTGACACAGTGGAAGCCACTAAGAATTTCTGTTCTGTCGCATGGTTGCTGATGGAGGCCTCCCCTCCACATCCTGCAGACAGGCGTCAAAGGGTCAGTCCTCCAATGCCCTGGAAAGCTTTTTCACAAACTCAGTTCATGTTGCTTTATTAACCAGTAAAACATGTAGGAAAGAAACCAAGACAGATACACTGGGAACAGAGACAAAGGCGCCACTCACAGATGACATGGTGATTTCCCAGGCAGACTTCAGGCGATGACGGGGAGACGCTCAGAGCCCGGCGTGAGCCGGCGCGTCGGGTGCAGGACGAAGATGAGTAACTGCTCCCCCGAGCAGACCCAACAAGATGGAGGCTTTCCTTCCATCGATAATGAGAACAAAGCGCTCTTACAAAAACAGCTCAAACTGAAGAGGGAACGAGGCCTTAGCCTGGGAGAGTGGACAGCAGGGACCACAGGCCCAGGCACCTTCACAGGGCCCCAGCTCAGGACGGGGCTTCCTTCCCCCGGCTGGGCGGGAGCAGAGACCTCCATGACAAAGGTTATCTTGATGGACCGAACCCAGGCAAGAAGGCAGGCTGCCCCCAGGGCTCTGGTGCCTGCTCTGGGGCTCATGTAGCCTCTCATGTGCAGTCATGCCTGGAGCTGGCAGTGCCTCATCCTTCCTGAGAGCCCCACGCTGCCTCCTGGTGGCCTCGGACAGCGGGACTAGCAGGTGCATCCCGCAGAGGACTCACAGGCATCCTGCCGGGTGGCCAACATAGGCTAGCCTTTGTCCCACCTGCATGCCCACATGCCCACTGATGGCACCCTGCAGGCTGCTTTTTAGCGGTCCCTGGCTCTGTCTTTCACCCAAACATTTGATGCCTGCAGAATGGGTTCCATTGGCCACACTTGAGCCGGGACTAGAGATCAATGCCTTTGGGTTTTCTTTTTTTAGCTAAGGTCTTGCTGTTTGCTGTGTGTGTCATTCAGGCTGGTATTGAATTCTCTTAGATTCTCTCTGCTGACCCCCAGTCCCATCTCCATCTCAATTGCAGTGCGCACAGGCAGGCTAGGAAAAGTCCCAAGGTAGCCACAGGTTACCCACTGTTCTCAGGCATCTGACCTGGCATCAGCAAGAACCCCACCTGTCCCCCTCCGTGCCCCACCCCTTCCCCTGGTCACTGATTTAAGTCGAAGTTCGGGACTTCGCACAGAGATTAGAGAACACAGACAGACATTGGTCACATGGACACTACTTTCGTCCTTGTGGGAAATCTTTCTGCAATTCTAGAAACTACCTCCAGGGGGCGCCCTCGTAACCGATCCAGCGCCTGTTTGCTCATCCGCAGACCAGTGGAGTTCTCCTGAGGCAGGACTGGCAGTTCCGCCACTGTAAACGTCCCACTGCCTTGGGTGATCTGAGGCTCCCTAGAGAAGAAGGAGGGTGCTCTCAGGCAGCCCCACGCTGAGGTCTATGTGTGGAGCTGCTGCTGGCCCAGGAGGAGTGGATCCCAACTTTGAGCGGCGGCTCTGCTTGTCATTGGCTCCATGATGCCAGATGTCCAGGCCTCTGGCCGCTCCACAGAGTAAGAGGCTCTCTGTGCTGCTTGTGGAGGAAGCTGCCAGCTATATCGTCTCCCAAGTGCATTTCTGTCCTCATCTCTTTATGCTTTACACACACACACACATACACACACACACAGATAGGCAGGTGGGTGGGTAGGTAGGTAGGTAGGTAGATAGATATTTCTGTATGAGAACCAGCAAGTAGAAGCAACTCATTTGATGCAGGGGATCCTTTGGGACCAGAACCTAGAAGCCTGTTCATGTCACTGACTTATTAATCAAAAGTGTCAAGGTTGAAAGCAGAGGGTAGGTGTGGAACATTCTGGGCCTCTGGCCAGGACCCCTGGTCCAGACCATATCTCAGTGAACCCAGGCCCTAGGCCCCAGGCCTCTGGCCTCAGGAGTAGGGGGGAGTCTCCCATGACACAGGAGGGGCAGTGTCCTTCCCCATGCGTCACGTGCTCTGCTGTTTCATCTCCTTTTTCTCCTTTGGCCACAGGGCGACAGTCCCGGCCCGGTTCAGAAGAACCTGCACAACCCTATTGTACAGGTAGGTGTGCCTTCCCCATGTCATCTGACCGTGCCTCACACTTGTCCCCCTGGGCGCTTGTCCCCCCTTACTACCATTCTCAGACCCCTGAGGTGGACAGTCATTGAGCCACATCCCGGGTCACTTGCAGGCTGGCCCCTGGGGTCCTGGCCCCCATCCTCCTTGGCAGTTGGGGTTTAATCTTTAAAGACCGATAACCCAGGTGGTGGTCTCTGCTGCAGGCTTCACCCATTCTTAGCGTTTTTAATATGCTGTGGTCAGCAAGGACAGGGCTACAGGAGGGACAGATGACATGAGGGGGAGGCAGAGGGCATCTATGGCCCAGCTGTGCCCATCTTCGGGGTCCTCTTAGGGAGACCAGGTTCCCGAGACTTCACCCTGGAGATGGTGTCCCAGCCCCTGGGGACGTCCTGGGAGTCGTGCATCTCCACCTCGGGTGAAGCCCAGCCTTCTATGGGGAACACCACTACATGTCTGTGAACACAGCGCTTGGCAGTTTATAAAACTTAAAGAATGCAACCCTATCCCAATCCTCCATCCCCCATACCGGGTGGGCACAGCAGAGCAGGCCTTGTCATTATCTTCCTTGTCCTTGCTGTCCCCAGACTGAGCTTGGAGAAGCTCCACGGGGATGTCCTGTTCATGACCAGCCCCTGCCCGCCCCCTCCGTAGCCTGACACCTGCTGTCCTGGCCTGTCCCCTGCTCCTGCAGACTGAGGCAAGTTCCTAAGGCCTTGGACAAACTGAATTGAAATAATAAAAAAAGTAATGCTACAAAGAGCACTAGCAACTCTGGACTATTGCAGATGGCTTCTATGTGCCAGGCAGTCCTGAGCATCTTTTTTTTTTTTTTTCTTTTTCCCCAGTGCTAACAATCAAACGCAGGGCCTTCACGCTGAGCCATATCCTAAGCCCTGCTTTTTTTTTTTTATCATTATTATTATTTTGAGACAGGGTCTCTCGGAGTTGTTCAGTTGCCCCGCTTTCATCTTGCCTCAGCTGCCCAGAGTGCTGCGATTCCAGGCATGCAGCAGTCTTCCAGCCACCTTTGTCTCCACTAGAGTGATGTCCTCTTTGGGACCTAGGGGCCCAATGTCCCTTAGATGCTTTAGAACTGGCCCATTGCAGTGCTGGCCCCAGCGACCCCTGACCTGTTCTTTGCCGCTGACCCTGACCCCGACCCCGGCGCCCTGACCCAAGCACCCGGCTCAGTCCGTCTCTGTTCTTCTCCCCACCCCACGTGCCTCCTCAGTCACTAGAGGATCTTGAAGACCAAAAACGGAAAAAGAAGAAGGAGAAGATGGGATTCGGCTCCATCTCCCGCGTCTTTGCCAGGGGGAAGCAGCGGAAGTCCCTCGACCCCGGTCTCTTTGATGGTACCACCCCTGATTATTACATAGAGGAGGACGCGGACTGGTGATACCGCCGCCTTCGCCTGCCGCCGCGGGCGCGTGCGTGGGGTGTGTGTGTGTGTGTGTGTGTGTGTGTGTGTGTGTGGCCGTGCGTGCAAGCGAGTGGGGGGCGTGGTCCCGGGGCGGGGGGCGTGTGCGCGTGCGGCTCCCCTGCCGCGCGTGGGTGCTGCGTGTGCCGAGCGCAGAAACGCCGTGTGACCCTCCCCTGCGCCGTCACCTCTGTAACCGATGTACATTACTGCAAACCGTGTGTGACTCTGTGAACTCTGTTGTCTTCGGAGCGATGCCGTTGTGTTTGTTAATCTGGTTTATTATTTTTTTTTTTCAATGTTTGGTTGTCTTCCCCCACCCCCCATTTTGTTGGGTTTGTTGGTTTCTTTCTTTCCCCTTCCCTCCTTCCTCCTTCCTCCTCCTCCTTTTTATGAAACTTGAAAACTTGAAGGACTGCTGTGTATTTGTAAATAACAAAACTGTCGCGCCCTCCGTCCTTGTAAATGTCCCTTGTCTAAACCGCTGCTCCCGGAGCCCGCCTCCTCGCCGAGGATGTGGTCTGTTCTTGATGTCCCCCTCCTCCTGCCGCCCACCCCAGTGTGAACCTGCAGGACCAGATCCCTGTTCCTGGGGTGGCCTGGGTCACCTTAGCCACAAAATGCCACCGTCGTCAGGGTAAGGTCGCTCTCTGCAGGGACTTGCCAGCCCAGCTGGTCAAGGGCCTGCTCCCAGCCGGGTTTTCTAATAGGGGTCACACGGGCCCTTTTTAATGGCCTGCCTGTTTTTAAATTGCGTTGCCGTCTCTTTCTTTATGGAAAAAAAGAAAAAAAGAAAATTGTCTTGTTTAATTTATTTGCACAAATGCAGAAGACATATTCTATCTAAATTATTACGTAAATATCGGAATGTATATTTTTCCATGGGGTGGGCGGGAGGCGGGGATCTCCGTTGACTTGTGTGTTCTGTGTTCATGCTGCCGCGACATAGAGGTTAGGGTGGCCAGAACCAGGGACCATCGGATGCCAGGCTTGCTTTTCCTTTCTCCTCTGCCCCTCCTGTCTCCTGCCCTGCATGAAAGGGCCCCCTGCTGCCCCCTCCCCTCCTCCAGCCTTTCTCTCTCTATTTATTTATCTGACATGCAGAACATAATCTCTGAGCAGAGTACAGGCTGTCACGGGTCCCTTCTTGGGCTTGACATTGGGAAAGGAGAGAGATGACTGGGGCACATCTGCAGAGGCCTATGAAAGGGACCCTGGGCCTGAGGTAGTTGCCCAAGGGCTGTCAGCACGCTCCTGCCTGCAGCTGTGCCCTTCCTGACCTCAGTTATTCTGCACACAGGCCAGGCAGGTGTCATAGTGGTACCCATGGTCAGGGAGGGGCTGCCGGGGACATAGTGTCCAGCACCCGACCCTCTGCCTTCCCTATTCCATTCGGGTCCTTCAGCCACACTTAGGCCTCTTGGGAACCCTCAAGGGAGGCCCTGTCCTCCCAGCTGTTGCGGCAGCCTGAGTCTGCTTCCACAGGAGAGGAGGGCTGGCGGGACCCTCCACCCGTCTGGGGACCCACCCTGGCCCCAGCGAGGCTCCCCCTGCCAGGAGCTGTGTGCACTCTGAGGCAGGGTAAGGAGAGAGCCCCAGACACAGCCTTCCTTCCCCACTGCCCTGTGACCCTGTCCTGCTCCTCCTTAATGACTAACCGCTCGGTCCACACCGCCCTCTGGACCACAGTAGTGGCGCTTCTGCTAACAGTGACATTTTCAGCTCTTACAAGGCAGCAAGGTGATTTTCATTTTCTGGAGCGTCTGGAATGGATAGACTATTTGGTCCAAAGTCTCTAAAACAAAACGGAAAGCCCTGGTTGGCTCCTCTGCCCCTTCCAGCCTAGGTTGGGGCTGGGACGTGCACACAGGGCACTTCAGCTGGCTCTGCTGCCCGCTTTGCCCGCCACAAGCAAGCCCTGGTGGTGAACAGCAGCGGCCGCAGCAGGCACCCAGAGTCTTAATTTTAGAAAATGTTTTCTCCCCCATGAAATTTTTTTTTTTTTTTTTGGTTGATTTTTATATTTTTTCCTTTACTTATGAGAAAATACAATTGCAACCACTCCTGGTAATGATTTAGTAGTTCCTTTTCATTTCAGTTTTTGTAAATTAGGAGATAATTCTAAGAGTTACTAAGGATGATTTATTTAAGAGAATTACGTCAAATAGCGAATGAGTTATGGGTAACGTTAGCTGAAAATAACCTTTCCCGTGGGAAAGGTTTCTCAAAGGCATGGATGCAAATATAAAATATTAAAAAAAATCTAAATAAAGCTTATTTTAAAATATGATCGAATCCTATGTTATTTGATTGCTTCTATTTTGCTCCGGGTGGGAGACTGTGCCCCTGGGAGTCGCACCCCGGAATGACCTGCTCCTTGGAATTCCAGGGCTGGGTCCTCAGGGGGTGACAGGAGGGGCCGAGGAAAGCTGGCTGAATTCTGGCCTGTGGAGGGGCAACGCCAGGGTGGCCTCCCTGAAATGTCTTGCCGCTACTGCCCTGCCTGTAATTTGGGGGAGCTTCCGCCCCCCGGGGCCAGCCCCCGGCAGCCCCTGTATTCTGGGGGCTGGTGGCTGTCAGCTTTCTTGCGCTTCCTCTCCCACCACCCCTTCCGAAGGCCCAGGGGCGAGCCTGTGGCTTGGTGGCACACTACTTTCACAAGCCTCCACCTCGTCCCCAGTCCCCACCCTCCCTGGGGACACAGCTCAAGAGGCAGCAGGGGAGTCACAAGGCTTCCTTGACTGAAGCCATTGTGGGCATTTTTGAGCCCCATGAGGTCCTCAAGATGCAGAACAGTTCTTCCCTGAGACTCCATTGTGTCCCACAGAGGTCACTAGGTCATCCCCAACCCGGCTGTAGCCAGTGTCTCTCTCCCAGCTAACAAACAGTATTCTTCCCAGCAGTAAGACTAAGGAAGGCCAGGCATTTAACCCTCCTGCCCTCTCTGCTGGGAAAAGACAAAGTTGTGGCAGAAGACAGACCAGGCCAAGGAGGTATGAGGACCCAGGTTAGTAAGGACACTGGGAGACACCAAGGATTGAGCAGGACTGCAAGGAACTCAGGGCCATCTGCTCCAGAGTTCTCAAGGCCCATGCCTGAGGGTTAAAATGCCAATGCAGGCCAGGCCTCTGGAATCTTTTCAATCCCTGGTAATTCTAAGTGGTGGCCTGGATTGAGCACCTCTGGCCTAATCTAAGGCAGGCAGGTATGTGACCATTGCATCCTGTGCCTGCCCTGTGCAGACATCACTAATCAATCATAGAGTCTCCCACACATCCCAGAGTGGCTCAACATCACTGCCAAACCATCAGAGTTGGTACATAGGATAAAGCCTATTTGCTATCCTGAATGAACCCAGCCTGTCACACTGGAAAAAACTCATGGGGAAAACTGGCCCAGAGAGAAGGGGACTAGCCATGGTCCTAGCAGGCGTCTACCATCCTGTGGCAGCATCAAGAGCAGGGCCAGCACCTCCTTTGTGCTTTTTTTGTTTTCCCATGCCGGGGATAGACAACTCTGCGCATGCTAGGCCCATGTTCTACCACTAAGCTACCACATTCCCAGTCTCCATATTTCGCTAAAAGAAAAAATCATGCTCTGATGATCCAACTTCTAGTGGTACCTATTGGTCAAAATTGGAGTAAGGCTTCCCAGGCCATCCAGGGCCAGGGTTCCAGCTGCACAGGTTGTACACTGCGTTACTCCAAGAGATGCCATTCTCGAGGTTGCCGTGAGAAAGGGACCCTGGGTTGTGCATCGTGCAGTTTGCAGGGCTGCACTGAGCAGGCCTTCTGCATTCTCAGCCATGCTGCTAGGCTCTGAGCAGTATAATCAGTAATAACAAATAATAATATTAATAATAATAATAATAATATCTAACATACTAAGCATTTACCATAGACCAGGCTCCATGCTGTATACCTTTCATGTATTAACTCAGTTAAACCTCTGTCCCCCCATCAACAACTTGCATTACTGATGCGGAAACTGAGGGGAAGTGGGTCATTAAGGGTCACAAAGAGCTGAGCTTCAACTTGGCTGTATTCTGCCCTCTGGGCCGGAAGGAGCTGGGGCCAAGCAGATGGGCCTGCCCCTCAGGCTCATCTTTGGGGTTTTATCAGGGCATGGCTTGAGGGCTTCCCTCCTGAGGATTATCCTCACCCTAACATGTAGGGTACCTTGGGAACCCCACCTCCACCACCTCGAGCTTGTGGCCGGGAGCTGCCCTGCACCAGGCCCGTGCTATGGGGCCACGTGCATCATGGGGCCTGAGCCCGGGGGTCCGGCGCGGGAGCCACGCTGAAGGGGGTCAGCCCTTGACAATCTGGTTTTTACAATACCACTAAGCTCCCTCTCCCCAACTTTCATTCCCCAAGAGGACCCACTCCCTGTCCACCTACTCCAAGAAAATGGCTCTTAAGCTTTTTCAGCTGAGACCCACCAGATGGACAAATCACCCTGTTCCCTGCCTCCACCTGTTGTCAGTGGAAAAAAACAAAACAACAAAAATACCCTGGTGAAGAATAAACTGGGAACTCCTGTTAGTGTACCTTATAAACAGATTCATAACTTTGCAGTATAAAGTAAATACCCTATAAACATAAAAATAATTTCAAAGCTTGTACAGTAGAAGTTATTTAAATAAAGTCAGGACACATCAGCACTAAGTGTTACTGGACAGACAGAAGTGTCAGCCGGGCTTGGTGGTGCACACCTGTAATTCCAGCATTCATGGAGGCTAAGGCAGGAGGACTGAAAGTTTGAGCCCAGCCTTGGTGACTTAGCAAGACACTGCCTAGAAAATAATAATCACTTTATTATTAAGTAATGATTAATAATAATCACTTATTATTAATGGGGAGGTAGCTCCATGCAAAGGCCCTGCATTCAATCCCCATACCACCAAAAAGAAAAAAGTCTCAGTCTACATGGGTG